GAGAGGTGGGAGGGAAAGGGAGAGAGAAGGTAAATTGCACGGTAATGGAAGGAGACCCTCAGGGTTATACAGTGGAGGGGGTAGAGAGAGAGGAGGGGAGGGGAGGGGAGAGGTGGGGAGGGGGGAGGGTGGATGATGGGAAAGGCAGCGGAGCACAACAGACACTAGTATGGCAATTTGTAAATCAATGGATGTGTAACTGATGTGAATCTGCAATCTGTGTATGGGGTGAAGGTGGGAGTTCATAACCCACTAGAATCAAAGTGTGGAATATGATATGTCAAGAAATTTGTAATGTTTTGAACAACCCACAATAAAAAATTAAAAAAAAAAAAAAAAAAAAAAAATCATATATTATTGAAAAATGATTACCATTGTTAATTACTTTGAATACAGAAAAACGTGCATTTATTTAAACTGCTTTGACGATTTTCTTCCAAATTGATATATTTTTAATGATAATTCATACAGTGACAAAAATGAATTAATTCCCTTCTATCTTTCAACTTGTAATTTCTTGTGACTTGCCCAATACTGTCAATGAAAATGCCATCTGACCAGGATTCAAGACTTAAAATCATGTACTGTTTTTTCTCCCTCACTTTTTGTTTTGTTCAGATTCCAGTAGAACTAAAATAAGCCATTCAAACTTGAATTTATCCCAGGCATTTGCTATTATCTGTTGATATCATTTAGAAATACTCCCAAGTAGAAATATTCCCTTATGTTGATGGCTCTCTAGTCCTCATCTACATTGTGCCTTCTCACTTTATTACCTTTCTTTTAGAGACAGCCTTTCCAGCTAAATAAACTATTACAATGTCCAATTTAATTTTTGTTATAGTTTAACATTAAGATTCTCTCCGGCTCAATAGTTCTATTCTTATTTCCTATTTACAACACTCTTTAAACTGACTTTCCTGCTTCTAGACTTGAACTCCTCCAGACTAGTATTCACATGCATCCAGAAGCTTAAATTTATTCATAGCACTCTACCACTTAAGGTCTGGCTCAAATTCCCCACTTCTACAGGATATATTTCAGATTCTTCAGGACGGCCTTCAGAGCCCACCATGATCTGACTTTTACTTCCTTTCTAGTCCTCACTAAACTTGAGTACCTTTTCTTCCTGCCTCACTTTGCATCGTACACTCCAGACATGATCATTTACTTCTAGAGAGCCCAGACAGCTTCACTAATTTCCTTTTCTTTTCCTGCAATATTATTCTGTTTATCTTGCAAATGTAAACTCAAATTCCAGTTTCTTTGAAATGTTTCCTAGTCTACCTTCCTACTTGAAGGCTGGACTTCTTTCAAAGGACCTGTAACACATTAAAGCATTAGCAGGTGTATTAAAAGTTCATGTGGCAGAAATTACACACTAACTCCCTCAGTCTTCACATACTTTCTGACCTGTCTTGTTAAAGACATTGGAAACAAGAAACTGTGTTAGATGCTTTAGATGTGTAAAAGTCTCCACCAACTAGACTATCTTATGAGAACTCAGAAGTCAAATGTTTTCTTTTTCCTTTCCTTTCCCTGTCCTTACCCTTCTTCCCTATCTTCCTCTTTAAAAAAAACTATTTTGCTAATAGCATGCAGGGTGTGGGATGTGAGTATTTAGATTCAATGACCAGCCTCAACATTCTACCTTAAGGAAGCCATCCTCATGCGTAACTGGAGACAATGTAGCAGTGCATCAGTAGAGTGCTGCCCTCTGTCCTGCAGCTTCATGATGTGAGCCTGAATTCAATAGTCGGGTGATGGGCCACTAATTTTGGCTCTTCAATGCCTCCCAGAGTTTTTAGAGATGCCTATTTCCCTGTGGTACATATCTTGTGTCTGACATGCCTGAGATGGTTTAGGTTTCCTACCCTGAAGTCTGATTCAGTTTGCTTCATTTAAACTGTAACTGCTTTGAAAATAGGAATAAGGTTTTTTTAAAATTATAGGGTTGATAAACTATAGTTGTATGTATTTATGGGGTACAAAAGGTATTTTTGAACACAATGTGGAATGATTAAATCAAACTAATTAACATATCACATTTAACTTTTTTGTGATGAGAACATTTGAAACTAAACTCAGTGATGTTGAAATATAGAGTATTGTGTTATTTGTATTCATCATGTTGTGCAATTGATCCAAAAAAATCATATGTATTCGTCTAACAGGCTTTGTACACTTATTTATTATCTCTATCCACCCTCCTCCCAACATGTATAAACCATAATTTTTATTCTCTGGTTCTATGAGCACGATTGTTTTAGATTCCATATATAAATGATAACATATGGTAAAAAAAAAAAAAAAAAAAAATACAACCATGTTCTTCCTTAAATTATTAGGGGCGGGGACTAAGGGCTTAGCTTAGTGCTAGAACACTTACCTAGCACATGGGCTGCCCTGAGTTTAATCCCCAACACACACACACACACACACACACACACACACAATTACACACACACAATTATTATGGGGGAAAATTAAGTATCACCTCACTTGATGTTTCCCCTAGGTCAACAACACTGTATGAATATGTTCTCAAGGATTTACAGCACTGATGAGGAATTTTTATTGTGATATTGATGAAAAGACTATGAAACCTTGCTGAGTCTTGATCTGAATGTTTGTTAGAGTGGTGTGTTTAATTTGTGAAAATTTTATCCGTCACTTGAAATATTCACTTTTGTATATAATACAATTTTGTTTCTTTGTTTCATACCAGGGATTGAATCAGTAGGCACTTACCCATTGAGCCACATCCCCAAACTTTTTATTTTTTTCTTTTGTGACAGGGTCTCACTAAGTTGCTTACTGGCTTTGAACTCACAATCCTCCTGCCTTGGCCTCCTGAGCCACTGGAATGACAAAAGTGCCAACTACACCCAGCTTTTTCATATATTTTATAATATATAATATATATATATATGCATATATATATATTATATATATAAAATACTTCAAGTTTTAAAAAAAAGTCTGTGAAAGCTTATCATGTCCCTTCTCTATAATGTCAATTATTCCCAGAGGAATACACACATATCCTGTTTGTATGGCATGACTTATTACACAAAGTTATCCACTACCACTATAGTATTTGTACAATTAAAAAGTAACATAAAATCCAAACATTAGCAATATATAACTAAAAGTCCTCTGGTTTCATCTCCTAGAAAGATTACAATTAGAACTGAAATTCAGAGGCTTATGGCTTCTACATCATCCCATCATAAATAAATTATACTCTTTTCCAAACTTTGAGCATCTCATTTTTTTCTTCAAAAATTTTCAAAATTAAAGTAATATATTCAGAATCTTTGAATTCCAGTAATTGAGCTAAAAAGGCTTGAACACAACAATTTTTGAAAAGGTAAACGTCTATTACTTTTTCTACACAAGTTTTCAGAGCCCTCATTTTTGTAAACTCACAGAGAATGTTGTATAATTATGTCCTGATGGAAATAAAGTTAATTATCTGAAAGAAAAAAGAGCCAGGTACAGTGGTGCATGCCTATAATCCCAGCAACTCAGGAGGCTGAGGCAGAAGAATCGCAAATTTAAGGCTAGACAAAGAAACCTAGTGAGACCCTGTCTCAAAATAAAAAACAGAAAGGGCTGGGCTCAGTGGTAAAGTGTCCCTGGGAACAACCTCCAATACCAAAAAATAATAAAAAAAATAATAGTAATAATAGCCTTTTTCACATGATAAAGTAATAACCTAATCTCAATTCCTGAAGGAGGGGACAGAGTTTCTGAAAAGTACTTATTTTTTTAATCAATTCATTGATTTTTGCTATTTTAGTTTAATGCCCCAGATTCCAAAAGTTTTAACTACTCCTTTTCTTATCAAATGGAAATCTGTCCTACAAGGAGTTACCAAATCCAGTAATGGCAATGTCATATTTTTCTACGAATTTTCTTTACTTCTCTCTCCATCCAATGGCTATGTGACAATACAAGAAAAGACTAGGAAACAGACTCTCAATCATTTAATATCCAGAACATCAAAAAATTAAAACTAAGGTTACCATACATATTAGGATTGTAACGTAAGAAGTCTTAATTTTCTATTATTTCTATAAATTGATATAAATTAAAAAGATATATGCAGGTGGAGTCTAATCTCAAATGCTTCATTTGAGAAGTGTTTCAAATTTTGGAGTTTTTTTTGATTTTGGAATGTTTGCATAGACGTTACTGGTTGAACACCCCTAATCTGAAAATCCAAAATCTGAAAATGCTACAAAACTTGAGAAACTTTTTGTTGTTGGAGCTCAACTTGTATATGCTTAGCATGTAACACAGTTTCAAAAGAAATGAGCTATTAGTCTAAAAATCTGATGATTCACAAAGTATAATCCAACTACGCAGATTTCATAGTAGTATAACAGAACTGCAAATAAATACTTTAAAATTAGTACACAGAAAATGTCACTTTTATTAAAACAAAATATTTATCAAAACCTTGCATGCTATAAATAGAAGACTTAGAGAATATGATTTGCATTGCTATAATGCCTTAAACAATACCTATAATTGAACTATGATGTAGATTTTTTTGTATTATCTTTAATAATGGGACAAAATGACTCCTACTAAATTGAACAGGAAAAATGTTCTTTTAAATCATATAAATAGCACAATCTCAAATTCTTAATTTTGTTGAAATTTAAGAGCATTTACGTTGTCAATCATAACACATATTTTAATAAATTACCTAACTACTTTAAAGACTTCTTTTTTACTTTAAAGTGCCATGTTTTAAGAGAAACTACTCCAAAATAAATCACTATTTTAGATGCTCTGGGGAGCTTAAAGAAAATTTCATTCTAATATTCCACTTGATTCCTGAGCTATCTATATACACTGAAATAACATTATTCATGAAATTGCATATTTGCTTTTAAAGTAGATGTTAAGAAATATGTCTCACTAATAGATACTTTTGTTATCCGTATACATATAAAGATTTTTAATTATTTTAGCTAGTTACTTACTGAGAGCCATGCAAGGGATTCCATGATTCGATGTTCACATCGTTCTAAATGTTTTATCATTTCTCTTGTCAAGTTGGCTTCTGCTTTGATAAAACTTTCAATCACTTTGTAAAAATCAAAGGCTTTTAAATTAAGTACATTCAGAATCCATGGGAAGGACAAATCTGTTCCAGAATCAAGATTCTGAGATGTACTTCCTAAAAATGAAAGAAAAAATGTATAGATATGAAATGTTAAGACCTGAACCAAGTATTTTTATTCGGAAGGTCTTATCAAACAAAGAATTAAATAATTTGTATTTAGAGCAGAATTTTTTATTCTAGAGTCTATAGGCTCCCAAATTTTTGAGTGTATGTGCATGTATGTTTTTTCTTGAGAAATGGCTCATAGCTTACATCAAGTTTTCAAAGGTTTAAATACTCTAAACTCCTATCAGGGACAGGTTTATTATTTTATCAGCAATTCATAAGCATATACATTTCAATTCTCTCATTAATCCTTGGTGGAGAGTAGAAAAGAAGCTTTAAGATTTGCTAATTTAATTCATTAGTTTGAAAATGGAATCTCTTTAAAATGTGCATTTAAGGTTATTAATGAGGATTAACAGTTTTCCATATGTGTTTATTAATTCAAGTTCCTCCTTTTTAAATTGTGTACTTGTATCCTTAAATAAATGTTCCTCTTCTGTTTCTGCAACAAAAACTTTTTTAACACTTGCAACACTATCTACAAAATAATATATTTAAAATTATATTTTAAAAACACTGTTATTGGCGCTTGTTTTGTTTATCAATAAATTATTGATTTTTCATAATTTGCTTAAAACCAGGCACCAATTAAGAAAGCGTTGAAGCTCTGGTGGATCCCAGCTCTAACCTGTGGTCTAGTGATCAAAGCATTGTTATAACAATGCTTTCAATTATTACTGTCTACTCTTTAAAAACTGCTTTGGCACTTTACAATCTTACAGATTTTTTAAAGGATTTCAAAAGGTACCTCTTCAATTTGTTCAGAATAGGATAGGGAAATCCACCCCCGAGATGGCCTGAAATAATTCAGATAAACTATTTAAATAGCAACTATTTAAATGACAACCAATTATGTTCTTCAGTATATACTCATCTACAATATGCTTTTCTTCTCTTTACCACATACCCCCTCTAAAAACAACAAACAAAACAAAAAATATAACACACCTGGAGTATTTTTTTAACTTTAAATTCAACTAAAACATGTATTTACTAAAACTTAACTTACTGCTATAGGTAGCCATTACAACTTCAAGAGCACACGCCAATAAAGACATATGAAAGATGTTGTCATTCAGAAGTTTGCTAAAAGAAAAAAGGAGAATGATTTTAAAATATTTACTTTTATAAAAAGAAGAAACTGCTGACTAAAACTAAAATAATAAATTACCTAAAATTTTGAATGGAGAGTCGTTCTTCTTCCTAAAACAGATAATGTTTTTAAAAGTTTAACTGAAACTTAATATTTGTGTCAAAAGTTATTTTTTTTTCTACTATATGTTTTTAAACTTACAGATTTAAGCATGGATTCCATTACTCGGTAGTATAATCGGACTCCAAGTTTATATCGCTACAACAAAGAAAAAGAAAAAGAAGAACTTGCTATTTTAGAACATCACAATAATCACTAATTTTTTGTAACAATCTTTTCTTGCAACATACTTCTGACCCTTTTTAGAAATATGGCTACCAAACTGGGTGCAGTGGTGTATGCCTGTAATCCCAGTGGCTCGGGAGGCTGAGGCAGGAGGATGAGTTCAAAGCCGGCCTCAGCAAAAGTGAGGCGCTAAGCAACTCAGTGAGACCCTGTCTCTAAATAAAATACAAAATAGGGCTGGGAATGTGGCTCCGTGGTTGAATGCCCGAGTACAATTCCGGGTACCCCCCACCCCAAAAAAATTAAAAAAAAAAAAAAAGAAATATGGTTATAAAAAAAAAAAAAATCACAAAAGCTAGACTATCTAAAACTCAAGACTTAAGTATAAAGTAATGTTTCACATTCCCAATAAGCTATCAAGAGGTTAGATCCATTACCTGATTCTCTAACACACCATTTCAGTCTACATCATTTATACTAAGGGTAGATTGTATGTCCAGTACAATATTTTAAGCACTTACATACCTGATTCTTATAATCTAGAACATCTATTTTCAGAACAGCTATTTAGAATTACAGAATAGTTCCTAATCAGAAAACTCTGAAAAACTCAGTAACCCTGCCACAGTCAAAAGTCAGACAAAACTAAATTTCTCAGTAAAATGTTTTAACCAAATAATTACTTCCTTTCAGTTGAAAGAATAACCAAATATTTTCAGTTACATGCTCATATATACATGCACAAACCATAGTTCTTCATTCCAAATTAAGAGTTCAAATGTCATATACAACCAAAAAAGAACTTTTTAGTTGTTTAAAGCATTATGGCATAAAACTATAATCTCATGACACTGAAATAAATGTGTAAAATGGATTATAATTTTCAAACTTATCTTTACAAAATTGCTCTCATTAATGCCACACAGCAAAGCAGAATAAATATAGAACCTGAATCTCAGAGAAGTTAAACGACATGTTCAAGATCACTCAGCTCACAATTAATAGAACCAGATGTAAACCCACTATTCCATAATTCCATAATCCATACTCTTACCCAATATATTGGTTTTAGATTATCTGAATAATATCACTCACTATCACTGAGAATTGACATATATAGTAAAATCCTATTTACATAAGTGTATGTATACATGAGTACTGACACATGTAGAAGTCACAGCATATACATCAAAAATTTAACATGAGATTTTAATTTTTTTGCTTACTTATATTTTCTAAATTTTCCACAATTGGTATGCATACTTTTCTTTTTGTAAAGGGATGGGGAATGATTTCTCTTAAGGTTTCTCATAAATAGCAACATACTCAGGCAGCTGGAATATATAATCTGCCAATTATACTACTAGACAAATACTATTATTTGTTTAGTATCTGTACAATCTGAACAGATGCTGCCTTTAAAATTATTGCTATAGACAGGCATTGATGAAAATGAACTCAATTTACCTGTGATCCAATTTCAACACATCCCTGTCCCACAGCTTTAGCAAATTTCTCTTTAAAGATGTGTCCAATATCTTTCACTCTTTTCAGAATATTTTCTTTTGGGTTCACCGTGCAATTCTTTAAGAAATATAAACAGAAATCAATATTGACAATAGAATTTAATCAGAATTAAAATTTTCTGTTCCATATCTAATGACTGAGTTTTTGAGTGTTTATAAAAATATGGAAACACTTCTATAATAACTAGGTAAACACAACCACAGATTCTAAGCAGAATTTCATTGGATGTTAGTGTCCAAGAAATTTTCAAGAACAACTAAAAAACTCTATTACCTACAATTTCTGCTGCTAGGTTTAAGGGACCTCAGATTTGTTAGCCTTTCTATTCATCACGTTTTCATAAAATATGTTCAATTAACAGTTGCATTTGAATGTATGTCACCCCCTTCACAAAAAAAGCCAGTGGAAGAAATAAAACTAAGATTTTAAGCTCAATATAATTTCTTAATTTAAAACTATGCTTTAGAAGAGTTAAAAACTAGCCATATTATTTAATAACATTTTCAGAAACTAGTATGGGAAAATAGTTACAAAAGAAGTTCCAGTGCTCACTTAAGCAGCATATATACTAAAAACTAGAACAATAAAAATAAGTTCCAATACATGCATCATTTGGAGTGTGAGGCCCTATCAACTTTAATAATTAACACACATCAGAAGATGATATATTAAAAGAAGCAGTATGATGTTCTATTTTATAATTCATATTATGCTACAGTAAAAATATATCACTAGGTATTAAAATATATTCATTAGGTACAGAAGCATAGTCCTAACATTCCAGTTAGTTGAGAGGTTAAAGCAGGAGAATCACAAGTTCAAGGTCAACCTTGGCAACTTAGCAAGATCCTGTCTCAAAATACAAAGTAAAAAAGACTTGGGATGTAGTTCAATTGTAGAGCATCCCTAGGTTCAGTTCCCAGTATGCAAAAAATGAATGAATAAATGGATGGATGAAAAAATAAATACTACCAAGCTCAAGCCTTTGGACATTTTGAAATATATAATAAAGAGGTCTTTCCTGTCATAAAATCACTGCTGCCAAATGTCAATTAAAATATGCCCAGTGTCTAAGATTTTACACACAGAGAAGATACCATTAATTTTAAAAATGAAAAAGCCTGAGTTTATAATAAAGAAGTAAAATCAAGGAAAAACGTAATGACCTTCAAGACACTCTGCCTCGCTCTGAGGCAAGATGTCATTGATATACAATTAAGAAGTTATAAAGTTTCATTAAAAGAAGTTATAAAGTTTCATTAAAAGTTAAGCTTTAAAATGAGCTCTAGAGAATGTCTCTGAGGCAGAACTTTCTGCCCAATGGAATTAATTAAAAAAAAAAAAAGAGCTCCAACATGCTCCAAAAGTTGGAAGAAGCATTTAAAAATGGCACTGAGAAGAGATTGTCAGTCTTTTAACTTCTATCATTATTACTTGCTAAAAGTTCTAGGTAACTGGGTTGATATGTTTGGGCAAATAATTCTCGTGCTACAGATAACTCATAAACAAAAGTAACTTTATATAAGTTAGACAAACAAAATCAGTTCTACACCAACATAATTATGAATAAAAGAAATTACTTTGCTAATTCCTGGACAGGACATAGCAAGACAGGACAATACAACATGACAAAGTCACTGTTAACAATTATAGAAAGTAATGACCAGAATAACCCAAATTTTTAATAAGCATCCTGGCCTTGTACAATTTCCACAGATGAGCACTTTGGTGGGTCCCAACCCTAATCATTTGAGTTTATATAAGGAGTGATGAAGCAAGCCGGCAATACTGATGCTGGTTTTCATTCTTTCTTCTTCTCTCTTTTTTTTTTTTTTCAGGGAGGGGATCAGCAGGGGCTTTCATAGATCAAACTCAGAGTCAATCGGAATTGAAAAGTGCAATGCACACAGAGCCAGGCAAGAATTTCAAATGAAAATGGGTTGAAAGTGGGATTAAAAAAACAGATGGCAGGGCTGTGGTGAGTGTTAAGTCCTACCTAACATTGTGTTCAAAGAAAAGATTTAAGATTTACGCAGGCAGAGAGAAAAGACAGATTAACTATAAAGGAACAACAGTAGGTCTACAGAAGACTTCTTAACTATTCACCTTGGGAGCCAAGAAATAGTAAAGTAATAATATCAAAATACTAAAGTAGTTATTTTAAACTTCTGAGAAAAAGTACATGTCAACTTAGAATCAAAGATCCATCTTAAAAAAAAATAAGAATAAACACATTTTTAGACAAAAAACAAAACAAAAAACTGTACTTTTATCTCAAACTAAACTTGCTAAAGGAATTATTTAAAAATATGTCTGAAGAAGGAAGAAAATGATCTCAGAAGTTAGGTCTAAGTTGCAAGAAGGAATGATGATAAGGCAAATGATAATCCTAAGAAAATCAAAACATAACACTGCCTAAATAAAATAATACTATTAATATCTAATTAGTAGGATTTTAAAAGCAAAAAATAAGATAATGGGTAAATATATGTTAACTTCTAATTTCATATTTTTTACCAAGATATCACAAAATATGTTTCATAGATGGCTTACATTGAAATAGGAAATCAAATTTTCTGATGGCTGATCACTTGCTGAATTTAAAATCATCATTAATTGTTGGATAGTATTCATAACAGTCCTAGAGGGAAGAAAAAAAGGAAGAAGCATTAAGCAAAGAAGAAAAAGAACAAATGAAATGCACATATCTCAAGTTCTTTTGATATCCTGTCTATCCCATTTATCTTTACAAAGTTCCCTGAAATAAGACTTATGGGGGAAAAAGACCCTCAGTGTACTGTGATTCATAAGAAATTATGTTCTGCTTACATCTTTAACAAGTATTCATAATAAATTTATGTTTATAGGACTGATACACTTAACTAATAAAACTAAGTATCAATAAAATATTAATTGGTCAAATTAATGATATTATATTTTGGAAAAATATATGGCATCATAAATTTTTATATCATATGGAGAAAAATTGACATCAAAATAGTAATCTTTCAAGAAAACATTGTTACAATTTAAGTTTTTTGCATATAAAAAACATTTATATATAAACCTTTACAGAGAGACTCTGAAATACACAATAGACAATATCTTCAAAATCAACTGTGAAGATTTTACAAAACAAGCAGCAATATTCTTTAAAACCACTTTAAACATCATCTAAAGATAAGACCTGATTGTGTGTTAACATATTCTAATTTTTGGTAAGCCTAGATATATAGCAGTGAGTAAGATTAAGTGTTTATTTTTAATGAAGTATTGGTGGAGCAGTTTTGAAAATACTATTACCTTAAAAATTTTATATATTCATTAACTACAAAAGATGCAAATAAAATGCATATTTATGTGAATATTTGTTGTAAATGCTATTTTGGTTTTTATAGTGTACAATTAGAACAGACTTTGAGTCTCTTGATAATAGACATCATGAGGCAATGTTTTGCTTATACAATTAAACATTAAACTCTCAAAGACAGTAAGACATTTAGTAACTTGAGTAAAGAATCAAATGATTCTTCTTTACAGAGAACTTCAACGAAACACATTTAAGGTCCTGAGTAATTTTAAGTCACCACAGTTAAAGCATAAAATTAGATCAGTCTCTTAAAGAGTCTTTACTTCTCTACCATGCATATGCACATGCACATATGCGTATATGGTATATAGTAAAGACTAATATTGCAATTTTGAAGTACAAATGAAATGTACCTACTCTCAAATAAAACACATTTGCTACATTGTTTAATCATTCACAGAACTGTACAATGTTTAGGGCTTAAAAGCTTCTCAAATATTATTTAGTAAAATATGTGCAGTATTCTTAGCCAAACCTCCCTAAACTTGTACCTATACTTTACCTTTCAAACATTGCCATGTGGCTTCAATGTTCATTAATCTATTTAAGCAACAATGACTAAAACCACAAACGACCAATTGCTAAACCCCAAAATCTGTTCCAACAACTGACTTCCTTGAAGCATTTCACCTCAAGCCCTTGTGCTTTCCTGAAACCAGAGCCCTCCCTTGACTTTCTTAATGTCTCCCTCTAGTCTCCCAAACCACCTACTCTCTCATTCTCTAAAATCTATCCAGCCCTTAAAATGCATTCTTTAGGTTTCAGCCCCTGCTACCTATTCTTGCCACTATATACCATCACCTCAGGTAACCACATCTTTTGTTTTTAAACTTTCATTTATTTTTTTTAATATGGTACTGGGGATCAAACCCAGAGCCTCATGTGTAGGCAAGTGTGCTACCGCTGAGCTACAACCCCAAACCCCAATCACATCTATTTTTTATGGCTTTAACTTTGTCTGACAATTCCCAAACCTGTAAGAGCCTTATATCCTACTGCTTATTAGAAAGTGTCTTCATAAATGCCTCAATATATTCTCAGTATGAATTCATCAAAATTATTCCTGCTCCTTCATTCCCACCACTACTCTCTTCAGATCTTCCACATCTCTCAACTCAACTACTGCAATGGGTCAGTCTAGAGATTTTTACTCACCATCTGAAGTAGTAAGACCTAGGCAAGTGTACTCCAAAAAAATTCCTCAGGTTATTTTAATTTGCACTCTGGGTTAAGAAGTTCTGAGACAGGTTTATTTCTCACTTTGTTCTGTCCTCTTCAGTCCATTCTCTCACAAACTACTAACATGTAAGCTTGTAAAAATCAAGTCTGACTTCATTCTTACCCCTGCTTATCACCCACTTATAGCACAAGTGACATCATGGACAAACTGAAGTCTGTACTTGAATATGGCATACAAGGCCCTTCATGTCTAGTACCCACTTCTCCACTCCTGCCGTTTCATTCCCTCATTTCACAATCAATACATATCTGCTAACAATTACCCAGATACACGGTGCTAATTCACACTACCATGCCTTTGTACATGCTCTTTCAGCTCCCTAAAATGCCTGTCCTGTGAGACAGATGTTTCAAAATTCAGTTCAGACATTGCTTCATAAAATCTCTTCTGCATCATTTCAATAACTGTCCACAAGTCTATAACAAAACTTATATTAAAAATTGTTTATATACCGATACAGTTATTCAAAACATGATTGCCTACTAACACCAAGTATTATGCCAGGCCTTAGTTATTAAATGATGAACAAAAAAAGCACAGTCCATATGGCATGAAATTTAAAGGCTATTGTGGGTATTGGTGAAAAACAAGCAAATACACAAATTAATTTATAATTACAAGTTGTGATACAGGCTTATGAAGGTACAGAACAGGATGCTATGACAAATAATAATAAAGAAAAATAATTCAAAGAGAAATACATCTTTAAAAAAGCAACATTTATGCTGAACATGAAGAACAGCAGTTGGAAATCCATACCCTACCACTGCAAAAAAAAGGAAGTTTCAATAAAAGAGAATATTAAGAATAAAGGTCTTCAGTACAAAAGAACTTGAAGAATACAAGAAAATGAAAGAAAACCAACACATGGCTAATGCAGGGTGAGCAACAAAACAAGATGAGGCTGGAGAAGCAATAGAAACAGGTCAGATAAGGTCTTGTAGGCATTATTAAAGAATGTGTATTGTATTCTAATTGCAAAGGGAAGCAATGAGAGAAGTTTTTTATTGGTTCGTTTTAATTATACATGCCAGTATAATCCATTTTGACATAATTATACAAGCAATGAGAGGATTTTAACAGGAGGGTGAACAGACATGATCTTATTTACACTTCTAGAATATTGTTCTTGGGGTTCTGTGAAGTTTTGATTTGATGGTGGGAAAGAGGATCAGTGATAAGAGCAGAAACAACAAGATCAGTTAGCAGTCTATTGCAAAAATCCCAAGATAAAGATGTCTAGGACAAGGGTGGTTAGAGTAGAAATGGAGAAAAGCAGATGGACTTAAGAAATACTTTGGAAGCAGAGTCAACATTTCTTGATAGCAGGTTTAGACATGTGAAGTAAGTGAGGAAACAGACAAAAAAAAATGGTTTTATTTCTTCAAGGTTATATGCAGATCAAATGGTGAAACTTTTCTTTTTTCTTTACTAAGATGGAACACATACACATTTTATATTGTGTTCCTTAAGGATAGACAGAACTATAATGATAATAACCTAAGCAAATCATTAAGTACTTGGAATACAATGAGCACTCAATACATATTTGCTACATGTATGTACAAATATAAAAAGAAACAATTAAACAAACCTAAAGCACTATAAAGCACTGAATAAACAATTATAATGAATACTAGAAGAAGGAAAATCTCATACCGAACTGGAGTATGTGGAGGAATCACATTCACCTCTTCATCAGGGTTACTTTTTCGTGGTGTTCTTTGTGTGTCAAAACTAAATGGTAAGCAAAATCATTCACATTATAAATTTGCAATTTGTGTTTTATGGGTCAAATAAAATACTTCCTGTTGCTTCATAAAATCATACAAATTGCTAAGTCAATAACAGAAGTGATAGGAAATAGATAACCCAACTGCTGCTCAAATGATTTTCTTCAGTACCATTTTAAAGTATGGGTCTCTTTTTAAAAATTTATTTATTTATTCTAATTTGCTACATATGACAGAATGCATTTCAATTCATAGTACACACAGAGAGCACAATTTTTCATGTCTCTGGTTGTATACAAAGTAGAGTCACACCATTCATGTCATCATACATGTACTTGGGGTAATGATGTCCATCTCATTTCACCATCTTTCCTACCCCCACCCCTGTCTCCTCCCTTCCCAGCCTCTTTGCCCTATCTAAAGTCCCTCCATTCTTCCTATGCTCCCCTCCCATCCCCATTATGAATCAGCATCCTCATATCAGAGAAAACATTACACATTTAGTTTTTTTGGGATTGGCTTTTTTCACTTAGCATATTATTCTCCACCTCCATCCATCTACCTGCAAATGCCATGATTTTATTCTCTTTTAATGCTGAGCAAAATTCTATCACGTATATATACCACATTTTCTTTATCCATTCATCTACTGAAGGGCATCTAGGTTGGTCCCACAATTTAGCTATTGTGAATTGTGCTGCTATAAACATTGATGTGGCTGCATTACTATAGTATGCTGTTTTTAAGTCCTTTGGGTATAAACAAAAGTGTGGGTCTCTTTCCACTAGGTTTATGACAAAGAGATGTACCCACCTTTAAGCAGATTCTCAAAAGTGAAAGTTAGATGTTTTCTTGCTGGTGATATTAATAACCAAGCAGTTGAAGTATTTTAAAATATCAAAGCTCAAGTTTTGTACCACACTGTGCCTTCTAAAAATTTTGTCTAGTTAAATTTAAAACATTTTACTCTATTTAATTTCCAAATTACATGTAATATTATAATTACTCTTGTCCATTTATATTTTAGGATCCTTCCCAACAATTCAAGAAAATAAACTTGGCATTAACTTTTTAAATGAATGAAGTGGGCAATAAGAGATTTAAAAAAAAAGATAAAAAAACAGAGACCACCACTTGAGTAAACTAATTAGTTTAAACATTTTCTTTTGGTGTACATGTACATTCAACTATCTGAAAAAAAGATAACTGTTATAGAATACAATTCATATTAAATCTGTACATTGTTAAAAAATTATATGCTTAGAATAGATACTGTTACTTTTTTCTTTAAAGGCATTTAAATTAACTTATTATAAAATGATGTTTATTTACAGGTCAGTAAGTTAATAAAAACCTATCTGATTTACCTATATCAATATCAATCTATATCAAAAGCATAACAAATAAAAATATTCCATGTGAAATACCTGTCTATAGGATCAGTCTGAAGAGTTTTATCATGATCCAAAAATAATCTTGCATCTAGATCTTTGTTTTTAAGATAAATTTCCTCATATCGCTTAGAAAGACTTTCAACCTCAAAAGAAAAAAAATACTTAATTATTCTTTATGTTATTATCTTTTAACACACAGAAGCAGATTTCATTAAAGAATGTTTATGCAATATATATTTTACAGTATACATTAAGTTCACATGCAATATAATTAAGACCTAACTAAAAGTGAAGTCTAGAAAACTGCAAATTTTTTTCAACTTCAGTTTTATGTATTTATCCCATTTATTAGAATTTTATGTAGACAAAGAATCACCAATGCAACAAAACAGAACTTAAGATAAAAAATAGGTTGAATATTTCTTACACAAAATGTTTGGAACTAAAAGTATTTCGTATTTCAAGGTTTTTTGAATTTTGGAATGTTTGCACATATAAAATCAGCTTTCTTGGGGATGAAATCCAACTCTAAACATCAAATTCATGTATTTTAATATACACATTAAATGCATAACCTGAAAGTAACTATATAATATTTTAAATTTGTGCATGAAACAAAATTTCATGGTACAGAATTTTCCACTTATGGTAATATCAACACTCAAAAAGTTTCAGATTTTAAGAGAATCTCAGATTTCAGATTAGGAATTCTTAACTTTATTATAATCAGTTAATTGCTAAAAGCCTTCGAATATCCCATATATCCTTAACTTTTAACTTTCTACTATATTTATCAATATAAAACTTTATTTTTTCAAACATATAGCAAATCCTCTTGATTATATGTCCAACCTATCTTTTCTAAACCCTCTGGTCCACTCTACATCCTTATAGTTAAATATCTTGGGCTTAATTAATAAACCCAGTTGATATACTTGTACAATATAATAAGCTCAATTAATAAACCAACTAACATGTTTGTACAAATAATTCTCAATGTTAGATATTTTTAAATGGCTATAATCTATAAATTGTTTATCAGCTCTGATCAATAATTTCATAATCATAATTTAAAAATCAATGCCCAATAGACAACTATTGGCATGCTCTCTGTTGTGACTTTTTTTTCCCTATATTGAAGGGTAACCTCAGAGCCTTGTACATGCTAAACATGGGCTCTACCACTGAAAACACGACCCCCAGCCCCTGCTTTGACCTTTAAAGACAAAGTGTTTCCAGCCTGAGAGAACTAAAATTGCATTCTAAAAGGAAGGGTATGAAGAAACCCAGTTGAATTTAAACTTTATTTTTGTCTATATAAGCGTATTTGGCAGAACAGTCTTTCATGCTCGATTAACTTGTTCCTGCCCAATCTTAGTGAGGCATTAATTATTAATCATGTACTGACTGGCAGTTGTATGCAAAATATTGAGAAAAATGTCAACTTTCTCTTAAGATTTCTATTGAAATTAAAATCCTTTCAAAGATAGAAGGAGTATAAGTGGCTAAGAATCCTCAGAGTTATGAATAGCATATTTTTTGGTACCTAAGGTGGTAAAAATATTCATTAATATACCTGGTTCCTTCTTGACTCTCCAAAACTATCTATCTCATTATTCTTCTGTCCTCTATCACAACTTTAAAGAATTACTTGGAGTTTATTGAACAGGTAATACTTTCACAAATAACTGTACCTCTGACTCTACAAAGTCCAGCCCCTGGAAATGCCATCTCTCATAAGGTTTTCTTAGCTTGGAAATCACACCACCCTCCAAATAATTTCCCAAAAAACTTATCTGCCCCAGTTTGGATTAGGTAGTTCTCCTCTAAGACATCACAGGATCTTGAGCATACTTCAAACACACTCTTATAAAGACTACTGTAATGATCTCTCTTTGCTTCTCCTAATAGCACCTTAAGGATAGTGACTGAGTTAAAATTTCTGTATCAACAGTATCTCTAGAAAAATGCTTGGCACATACTAAGCACTCAACAAATACTTCATAAATCAATAATAAACTCAAGAACTAGCTTCCAGTTCAGGTCACAGAATCAGCAGTCCAGATATCTAATTCCATGCCTTTTAGTATTACTGACAAATACTAGGTACTTCTAAAGCACTGTTTTATAACTTTAAGCAAATTAATGTAATTCTTTATATCTTATCAGATCATAATGGAATGAAATTAGAAATTAACATGAAAAAAACCAACAGAAATTACATAAAAACATGGAGACTGAGCAATACACTTTTGAATGATGAATGGTTTATAGAAGGTTAAAAACAGGAAGGGGAGAAGTTAAAAAATTCTTAGACTTAAATGAAAATAGTGATACAACACACCTGAATCTCTGGGACACCATGAAGGCGATTCTAAAAGGAAAGTTCATAGCTATGAGTGCATACAAAAGAATATCAGACAGATCCCCAATTAAAAGCCTAATGATGAATCACAAGGTCCTTGGAAAAAGAAGAACAAACCAATTCTAAAACTAGTTAAAGGAAAGAAATAAATAAGACTTGAGCTTAAATCAATGAACTTGAGAAAAAAACAGTATGAAGGGTCAATAAAACAAAGAATTGGTCCTTTGAAAAGATAAACAAGGCTGATAAACCCTTAGCCAAACCAAAAGAATAAGAAAGAAGACCCAAATTAATGAAATTAGGGGTGAAAAAGCAGAAATCACCACAGATATCATGCAAATTCAGCAGATCATTACAGAATATTTTGAAAATTAATACTCCAATAAATTGGAAAACCTAGAAGAAATGGATACATTTCTAGACACATACAATCTGCCAAAATTGAATCAAGAGGACACAGAAAATCTAAACAGATCAATAACCAGCAATGAAATAGAAGCAGTAACAAAAAGCCTTCCAACAAAGAAAAGCCCAGGACCAAATGAATCCTCAGCTAACTTCTACCAGACCTTTAAGGAAGAACTAATGCCAATATTTCTCAAATTATTCCATGAAATAGAAAGGGATAAACACTTTCAAATTCATTCCATAAAGCAGGATCATACTCATACCAAACCAGAAAAGAACACATTTGGAAAGAAAACTCAGACCAATGTCCCCAATAAACTTAGATGCAAATCCTTACTAAAATATTAACAAATTGCATTCAATAACATATTAATAAGATTGTTCATCACAACCAAGTTGGTTTTATCTGAGATGCAAGAATAGTTTAACATAAGCAAATCAATAAATGTATTTCATCACATAAATAGAATTAAGGACAAAAATCAGTCATCAGAATAGACGCAGGGAAGGACTTCTACAAAATTCAGCACCAATTCATGATAAACTAGGGACATAAGGAACCTATGTCAACATCATAAAGGCTATATACAAAAAGCCCAAAGCTGACCTCATAGTAAATGGGGAAAAACTGAAAGCACTTACTTTGAAATCTTGAGCAAAACAAGGATGTCTACTCTTACCACTTCTATTTAATATAGTGCTAGAAATTCTATCCAGAGCAATTAGGCAAGGGGGAGCAAGGGGTAAAAAGGTTAAAAATAGGAAGGGAAGAAGTCAAATTATCACTGTTTGCAGATGATATGATCCTATATTTAGAAGATCCAAAAGAGTCAACCAAAATAAACAAATCTGGCAAAGTAGCAGGTTACAAATTCAACATACAAAAATATCAATACCTTTCCTATAAACCAACAATGAATCTACCCAGAAAGAAATCAAGAAAATAATTCCATTTACAGGAGCCTAAAAAAACTAAAGAAATAAATTTAACCAAGGAGGTGAAAGATCTACACAATAAGAACTATAGAATATTAAGGACAAAAATTGAAGAAGACCTCAGAAGATGGAAAGACTTCATAAGTTCATTGGATAGGCAGAATTAATATTTTTAGAATGGCCATACTACCAAAAGCAATATAAAGATTCAATGCAATTCCCACCCAAATACCACAGAACTAAGAAAAAACAGTTCTAAAATTCATTTAGAAGAATAAGAGTCCCACAAGAGCCAAAGCAATTCTAAGCCAAAAAAGCAATGCTGGAAGCATCACAATAACTGACTTCAAATTATAGTACAGAACTAGAGTAACAAAAACTGCATAGTACTGGGTAAAAACAGACACTTTGACCAACAGTAGAGAACAGAAGACACTGAGACAAACTCACATACCTACAATCATCTGACCCTTGACAAAGCTGCCAAGAACATACACTGGAGAAAGAAAACCTTTTTTCCACCAGTGGGGATGCAGGGGATTGAACCCAGGGCCTTGTGCATGCTACACAAGCACTCTACCAACTGAGCTATATCCCCAATCCCAAAAGAAAGCCTTTTAACAAATAAGGCTGCGAAAACTAATTATCCATATGTAGAAGAATAAAACTAGTTCCTTATCTTTCACCCTGAACAAAAATCAACTCAAAATGGATCAAAGATCTAGGAATTAGACCAGAAACTATGCAACTCCTAGAAGAAAACAGAGGTTCAACATTCCAGCATACAGGCACAGGCAAGAACTTTCTCAATAGGACACCTAAAACTCAGGAAATAATGCCAGTGTTAATAAATGGGATGACATCAAATTAAAAAGTTTCTCCACAGAAAAGGCAACAATTAGGAATGTGAAGAAAGAACTGTCAGAGTGGGAGAAAAATCTGTGTTACGTACTCTTCTGATAATTGACTAATATCTAGAATATATAAAGAGCTCAAAAAAACTTACACCAACAAGCCAAATAACCTATAAATAAGTGGGTGAATCAATTAAACAGACACTTCTCAAAAAAAGAAATAGATAGCCAACAAATACATGAAAAAATGTTCAACATCATTAGCAATTAAGGAAAAGCAAATCAAAACAACACTGAGATTTCATCTCACACCAGTCAGAGTGGTAGTGATCAAGAATACAAACAATAATAAATACTGGAGAGGATGTAGAGAAAAAGGACCACTTTTAAACTGTTGGTGGAATTTCCATACTATGAAAATCAGCATGGAGGATCCTCAAAAGACTAGGCATGACCCAGTTATTTCACTTCTTGGTATTTACCCTAAAGAATTAAAGTCATGATACTACAGTAATACACACATACTCATGTTCATAGCAGCACAACTCACAAAAGCCAAACTACAAAACCAACTGGTGTCCATCAATGAATAAATGGATATAAAAATGTGATATATACAATGGCATTTTATGTATGTGATATATACAATGGAATTTTGTTCAGCCACAAATAAAAATGAAATTATGTCATTTGCAGGAAAACGAATGGAACTTGAGACCATTATGTTAGGCAAAAATAAGTCAAACTCTGATGGACAAGGGTCATAATGTTTTCTCCAATTTGTGGAAGTTAAAGAGGAAGAAGAAAAGAAAGGTGGGGTAGGAGATGGATCTCAGAAAAATCAAAGGGAGATCAGTAAGGGAAAGAGACCAGTGAGTGGGAGGAGCAGAGGGAGGGGGGAAGTGCTTGGGAGTTATACTGGCCAAATTATATTGTTAATATTATATGTATGTATAAATATGTAACAATAATTCCCATCATTATGAAAAACTAGCTATAATGCACCAATAAAAAAAAGGTAGAAAGAGGGAAGAAAATAAAACACTGCTTTATCCTTGAGTACCTATTTATCATTTATCAAAGCAGCCTTTTCAGCCAGGCACAGTGGCACATGTAAGTAATCCCAGGGGCTCAGGAGGCTGAGGCAGGAGGATCATGAGTTCAAAGCCAGCCTCAGCAAAAGCAAGGCGCTAAGCAACTCAGTGAGACCCTGTCTCATGTGGCTCAGTGGTTGAGTGCCCCTGAGTTCAAAAAACCAGGCAGCCTTTTCCTCACATAGTTCTCATCACCACAGTTCACCTTAACATCCAAAGTTCTCAGTTGTTCTATTCTCAGTGAGAAGACATTTATGACAAAATGTAAAAAGAAACACAAATGGATGGTTCACTAGTAAGGTAAAATATTTCTGCAATACAATCAAAGTCATTTCAACCATACTTATTTTCAACAAGTAGCTTTTAAAGATATTCAAAGCAGATGTTCCACATTATAGTAATGCCAAAAATGTTGCTTGAGTTCTGGATCCTATGCTTTAGAATGTCCAGCAAAGCAAATCAGAATTAAATCTGTGCATATTTAGTTGTATTTAGATACTTAATGGCATTTAGAAATTTAAAAATTTAGACTCTGATTTTCAAATAATTTCAGTATAATCAATTTCTAGTACAAAACATGAAATGATGCTTACTTATATATAGGTCTTCAAAAGTATTTTTCTATCACCACACAAAACTTGATTACACAATTCTACTTAGAGTACTTTCTTTAGGCAAAAAACTATCTGAATTGATCCTAAGAAACTTAGACAACTATCTTCCCTCCCCAAAGTCTCAAAATATACTAATTTTCTATTAAATTTTCTTTCAGATTACCTCTGGAAGTCCATTAGAAGCTACAATTCCAAGAGAATTCATAAAGGGTATAAAATTTTTGAAATAAACATTTTTCACCTGAAAAAGATATTATATGACATTAAAATATAAAACAAATGAAATTCAATTTGTCACTATTAACACTAGAATGAGAGTATTTACTCACATTTAATCAATGACACACATTCAAGCTAGTGATACTTATTTATAATTAATTCATTTATTTACTTTTTAATGTACATGAATCAGATTCTAGGTCCTAAAATGGAGATAAGTAGAAAATTGTTATTGTAATAGGAACTACTAGAAAAGAAGGCATTAAAAAGAATTTCGATATTTCACATTTAAAAAACAACAAAAAAGACAGGGCACTCAAACAAATTAAACAACTTGACCAAAGCTGCACAATTATAAAGTGGCAGAGCCAGAATTAAACTCTAATTTATCATCAAAGGTTCCATTCTTCATTTCTTTGTACTGTTTCTCATTTTTCCCCAAAGTATATTTTGGATCATTTCACACTAGGGTCATTTGATGTCTGCTAAGAAAATAGCAAGGCAATTTTTAAGTATAAATCTAAGAAAATAATTAATTTTACACACAATAATTCATTTCAAAACCAAATAAAAATGTTTTTTGGAAATATGCATTGTTTCATGGAAAAGCATCCCACAGGTAACATGGATTTTAAAGAACTGCACTCAGAAAACATGAAGCTATGTTCTAAACCTGTAATATGTTATGTAATTTAAAATGACTTGCTTTCCTTTATTTAACTTCCTTTTCCAAACTTGGAATCTACATTTACTAAGGAACCAATAATTTAATATCAATTCCTGCCTTATACTTCATAAATAAGATTTAAGAATTAAGTCTCTGAAATATTTATTATCTTTGTTTTCTAAAAAAATCCACTTATCTAGAAAATTTACAATATAATAATTAACCAATTAGTATGAATGACCAACAGTTATAGCCATAAATGCTACATTTAAATAATCACCTTTAGATAATCCAGTATCAATTAATTAAAACCCCACAAAGCTTTTAGTTAACTATATTTTCATCATAACTATAAACATTTTAAATTCTAGGAAAAAGTGCTTTACACTGATAAGTTAAAAAAAATGATTTAATCTTAAAAATGAAATTTTAGCCGAGTGCAGTGGCGCACACCTGTAATCCCAGCAGCTCAGGAGGCTGAGGCAGGAGAATTGTGAGTTCAAAGTCACACTAAGCAACTCAGTGAGACCCTGTATCTAAATAAAATTCAAAAAGGGTTGGGGATGTGGTTCGGTGATAAAGTGCTCCTGAGTTCAATCCCCAGTACCATAAAAAAAAAAGAAAGAAAGAAAAGTGAAATTTTATAAGTAGTTATGAAATCCAGAGAATTAACAATGTGGAATGAGAAAACTATATTTACTACCATTCATTATCTTGTAAATAAGCAACAAAAATAGAGTAAAAAGAAATATTTCAAACTATACTCGTCAGCTTATTTGCAAAGATAAATTGTGATTCTAGAAAAGTATATATACATATTTTTTTCACAAAGTTGATATGTCTATACACACATATCTATTTGTTGAAGTTAATAAGAACTACAATGCTAAAACTCAGATATATTGACAAATCATTCTAATCTTTCTTAAACTAGATTGTTGGGAGCATAATACCATTCCTTCCCAGCATTGCCAGAGAAATCTTTAAAATGCAACATTTCATACTACTATCTAGTAGTGTTGAATTGTGGACAATATAACAGAGAAAAACAAGCTGGTAGAGTAAAAGTAGCCCTGGTACCAGATGCCCCAAACTCTAATGTAGATTCTATTAATAATGAGCTACCTATCAGTCTCTGGAAGTCATTCCTGGATGAATATGTATTCTATACTAACCATTAACAGTCAGCTTTGTTTAGAAAGTGACTAGTTACATAAGGCTGAGGAGAAATTTAATGTTAGTATCATTTATCATTAAACCAAAACATCAAGGTCTTCTTGGCAGGGCATTTTAAAACATTAGGGGTACTGATAATATCAGTGGAATCAAAGAAGAAATACATTTGAAAACTATTATCTTTATGATATACATTTCTGTGATTATAGAGTAGAGGAGCCAATCTCTTTAAAAGCAAAGTAACTGAATATGAAAAATAATTTTTTTCTAAAATATGTTGCTACTGGAAAAGAGTTGACACTAGTCAAAAAAAGCATGCTCACCACAAAAGAAGTATATGCTATTAGAAAAAACTTTATCTAAATCTACTTTAACGGTTTAAAGAAAGCATAAAGTGAAATTACCTCATCTATATTACATTCATGTTCTTTACAGAGAACTTCAATAATTCTTGTATCGTTTTCTAGTTGTTTTGCTATCCGTGCACTCCTGTTCTGACCTCGTCTAGGTGTCCGAGGTGAACCATTAATGGGTATTATAGCTGTTTCTGTAAAAATGATAAATTAGATAAGAACAATTACACATTCCATTGAATAAAATTATGAAGTATTCTAATTATAACTAGGAAAGTCAGAAATAATCTTGTTAACATTCTATTTTTACTTATTAGCCTTCATTATAAGAATAACAATTTCTTTTTTTTTTTTGAAAGGAAAGAGAGAGAGAGAAAATCTTTTTTTTTTTTTTTTTTTAGATTGACACAACACAATGCCTTTTATATTTTTATGTGATGCTGATAATCGAACCCGGATCCTGCCCGTGCTAGGCGAGTGCTCTACCGCTGAGCCACAATCCCAGCCCTAAGAATAACAATTTCATCTTATTTATTAGATACCTATTTCAAGTTATAATACTGACAGGAGTTTTTGCCCCAAATAACACAAAAAGAACTAGAAAACATTTGTGGTCCCATAAACAGAGAAGACCAGAGAAACAACCAATTTCTAAACTAATTCTAAGTGTATCCTACCCAGTATGCAAAAGGAAAAAATGTTTTCTATCTTAGAGACCTAAAAATAATGAGCAAATATTTACAGATTCAATTTCTAATACAAAAACAAATTTTAAAAGCTTTAGTAAATTATGATATTTTAAAAACAGATTTTATAAATATAATTTCCTGATAATAAACTGTGATTTTTTTTAAAAAACTCCCTGGATTATTTTGCATACTACTGATTCAAAACGAATATAGGTTCAGCTTCTAAAAAGATTTTAGAAGATTAAGTATAAAAAGTACTTATTGCTTCTAGACATCAACTTACAAGAAACTGAGAAGACAGAAGAACATATACCATAGGATATTATCAGCAAAAACTAGACTAAAACTCAACTGGGAAACTCTGCAAGATTCCAGCATGATTGATTGATTATTTATTTGCTTATTTGTTTATTTATGTCAGTTCTGGGGACTGAAAGCAAGGCTTTGTGACTGCTAAGCACACATTCTATCACTCTGGTTGAATAAATAAATTATGAGGAAAAAATAAGAAGAGAAACATAGAGGAGGAACAACTTTATTTTTTTTCATTTGTTTTTCTTTTGTTGCAGTGGACTGAAATCAGGCCTTCATGTTCTCTACCACTAAAAAAGCCTGGAAGAAGAAATTTTGAAAAGAGTATCAACCGATCACAAAGTGGAGATCTTATTTAAACTCTGATTCAGTCAACCTACAAAAAAGTTTATACTAGGGGCTGGAGTTGTGGCTTAGTGGGCAGAGCGCTTGCCTAGCATGCATGAGGCACTGAGTTCGATCCCCAGCACCACACAAAAATAAACAAATAAAATAAAGGTATTGTGTCCATCTACAACTAAAAAAAAAAAAAAAAAAAGTTAAAAAAGTTTTAATTACAGTTATGAGATAAAAAAGGTATATTTACCAGATACTTGGTGATATTAAAAAAAATCATTATTAGATGTGATAATAGTACTGTCATTATGCATTTTAAAAACCACTTACCTTTTAAAAGATTCACACTGAAATAATAAGGTATTCAAAGATATGCTTCAAAACAAAGCTGGGGGAACTGGGCAGGGGAAGAGACAATAGACTGGTCACAGCAACTGTTGAAGCTATTAAGTGAAAAGTATATGAAGACTTAAACTACTGTCTACTTTTGTATTCATTTGAAATTCTCCATAACAAAGCAAATTAAAATTTTACCATACTCAGTCAATTCAATAGCTTATCCTTGATTCTATTTAACACAGCACTTAAAAGAATTAAATGTAGTTTTGAATTATCCCAAAAAACAAAGATGTAAACCTAAAGTAACACATAACATCAACTTTAAAGTTATAACATTGAAAAATAAGTGAAGACAACTAAAGGAAAGTTTAAAAAGTTGGGGGAAATTTGAAGCATATTTATTATTTTCTATATATAATTTTTGAGCTTTTCTCCCTTTGATTTGCATTTCAATTCTAAGTGAAGTTTCCTGTCTTCTCTGCCAAATCATGTTCAAAACATTGAAAATTCTACTTCACACTTCATTTTTCCATTAAGTTATTGTTCACAAAGATTAATTACAGCTCAGTCTTTCAGCCACTTTGAGACTTCAACATTTTGATCTGTCATCTATTACTTTTAGGATTAACACTTTCATCATTTCAGGAGCAAGGAATCAGACCACACCTTATTAAGTTTACATTTTTCTATAGTATAATAAATGATTCTGAAATCCTACAGGTAAGAGCCTCTTCTCTTCTTTACTGAGAATACCCTTCTCTAACTTCTTCAACCTAATCTTAACTACTTATTCTTCAACACTCATTTCATATATCATCTCTTCTTTATTTTTTGGCTTTTCAGAAGAAAACTTTCATTATCTCCTGAACCAACATAGCATTTCCTTTATTTTTACTCAGATTATTTCTACCAGATTCTCTGACTGGGTGCTTAACATCTCTTACCTTTCCTCTTATAATTTATGCTACCTGAGGGCTGCTTATAGTTTGGATATGGAATGTCCTCCAAAGACCCAGGTTGTCAAAGATCTGGCACCAGCTTGGTGCTATTGGGAGATGATGAAAATTTTGTTAACTTAATGATCAGCAAAAACTAGACTGTGGGAAACTCAACAGGACTCAATAGGTAGGGAATAGTCAGAGGTATGGGGCATACTTTTGAAGAGAAAAGTAGACTCCCATCCCATTAACTCTCTTTCACTCTCTCATCATAAAGTGAACAGTTTTGCTCCACCATGAGTTTCTGCCATGATGTGCAACCTCACCACAAGCCCAAAGCAACAGGGCCAGTTGTTCATGGACTAGAACTTCCAAAACTATGAGCTAAAATAAACCTTTCTTTGCTCTTAAGTTGATTATCTTGGATATTTGTTACAGTAATAGAAAGTTGACTAACACAAGAACAGAGCCTATGTCTGATTTATTTTTTATCACCCTCTCAATTTAGAACCATACTAGAGCTACCAGACATCCAATAAACAATGCTAAAGACAAAGGAGGAGCTTAAATTACTTAAGATACTTACTATATGGTTCTTTGAGCAGTGCAGGAGGTGAGAGTTTGATAAAATAGTCAAGCACACATAGCATTAACTGAAATGAGATCACCAGATCATCTTCCATTTGTAATACTTCTCCTGAAAATAAAAAAAAATCACATTTTTAAGAAACGTTAGAGATTGATATGGGTATATTCACATATTTATTCATTTTTATAAGCTTAAGAGAAATTGTGGGTATGGGTATATTCATATAGTTATTCATTTTATAATCACTAGATTCATGATAAAAAACCTTTTTCCTTTCTTATTTTCAAAAACAAAAAATCAGTCAAGGGCTGGGGTTGTGGCTCAGTGGCAGAGTGCTTGCCTCACACGTGTGAGGCACTGGATTCAATCCTCAGTACCACATAAAAATAAATAAACAAAATAAAGATATTGTGTCCATGTATAACTAAAAAATTTTTTTTAAAAAATCAGTCAAGTCTAATAGACAAATATATATAATTATGAAATTACGAATTAGTATTGTCTACCCTGAGAATTTTACACTTAAGTATTATTACTAAAATTAATTTCTTATGTTTAAAATCATTTTGCATTTTGCTTTTCTAAAACTTATTATTACAAGCTATGGAATTTATTACTTCTGAAAATAATTTTGAAGTATGGTATATGCTAACTTTTAATCCTAATGATTTATCAAACCTCATACATTTTCAATTCTAACACTTTCCAAAATATTACCAAAGCTATTATGAAATAACAAAATTAATATATAATTGTAAGGTCATCTATAAGTAATTATCCAGCACAAAATCCTAAAATTTCATATACTACATATACAGTAGAAGTATATGAGGAAATAACTACATGTAATAGATGCCTGAGAAAAACAGTGTGGCTAAATACAATATTGCATTCTTGCCTATGGTTCTAATATTTTAAAACTTTTCTTCTGGGTATCTGCTAAACTAGGAGTAATCCCAACAAATACTGATGGAACAGAAAATATGTGAGAAAATTGGTAATGCTGAATCAAGTAAGTTTTTTAGATCCATAGGTATGGCGGAAAAGGTTCATAATATACTAAGACATTATTTAGAAATACCACAGAGGTGAAGAATGATATCAAGCACTTCTAGGTAAAAATAGTAGAATGTCAGATGAAAGAATCTCTCTTCTCCAAAATCTAATAAAAATGAAAAGGTAAAAATGTACTGGTTAAATGCAAGTAGCAACATAAAATCTGAAGGTAACTAAGAGGGAATCCTCATCTTTTTCTCCTTCTGACTTGAAAGGACTAACTATTGTTAAAAGAATGGCAAAATGGAAGAAACAACTATAGTCAGTTGATAAAGATTCTTATATACTGCACTCAATTGGGAACAATCTGAATCCCAACACAATCCTGTTTTAGAAGAAGGAATTATAGACATTCTAACAAAAACTAAAAAAAACACACAAAACAAACAAACAAAAAAACATCTCTACTTTCTCCCTTACCTTCTGAATAAAGCTTGGTATAATAAAAATACCTGCTGACATACTATAATTCTCTGAGGAATACAAACACATCACAGATAAAATGCAAGGTGACTGAAGGGAAATTCACTCATACTGCATCAGAGAAAATAAGAAGTCAGAGTTAGCCACATAAAGTCCCAGCAAGATAAGGAAGAAAAACACAGACATTATGCAAACATATTCTAGAAAAGAAAAAAGTAGAATCATAACATAAGAAGAGAAAAAAAATCAGAGAATCCAATGTGGAAGAGAATCTAAAAGAGGAAAATGACCTATATGAGTTCTTGCACTAAGAACTTAATGAATTCATATTATAAAAATAAGGGACTGGACAGTTAAGAAAAAACTAAGAACCAAACAACATCATTACAAAAATAGTTTAGATGAAAACAGAAGGACTTGAGATAAAAACAGTCAACACACAAGAAAAAGACAAAAGATCAGAATAAAATAGGAGAAGATAGTAAAAAAGGAAGACAAAAACAATCCAATGTAAGACAGTTAATGTATCTGAAACGAAAGAGAATAACTTAATTGAATAGAATAATATTTTAAAATACAGGTGAGTAAGATTTCTCTGAAAAGAGCAGATCCTCCAATTTAAAAAGAAACATCGTGTTCTGAGAAAAATTAAGGTAGAATAATAAAAATCAAGAGACATCCTGGTAAAAACTACTAACCCTTTAGTTTAAAAGAGAGAGAGAGAGAGAGAGAGAGAGAGAGAGAGAGAGTAAAAATGAAAAAAAAAAACAGAATTCTTCAAGTATTCAGGAACTAATGAAGAGGGGAAATTAAGCTAATCTCATATTTAACAACAATGTTTAATGCCAAAAATCAGGGCTGGAAAGAAACAAAACCAAAAGGCCTACTGAAAACAAAAAAATCCTCAATGGTAAAATCTAACCAGCTAAGAAATGAATCAGAATAAAGAACAGAAATTAAAAAGCTGTAATAAAGGAATTATGGTAAGCTTAGGATATAGAAATGAGACAAACCAAGGTAACAATTATAATTACAGATAGAATACAAATGTTATAATCTTTGATGATGAAATAATAATAAAATTAACTAATCTTGAAGTGGGGAGATGGAAGGTGACAGGACTTTGTTCTTCAAAGTGCATTAATATACATTGCTTCAAACCAAAATATGAAGGTAAAGAAAATAAAAATTCCAATAAAAATTCCAATTTTTTCATAACTCTTTTTCATAATCTTCAGAGAAATATTTTAAGAAACAATCTCCTTAAAGTGACAAAACAGTTTGGTTAATTTAAGCAACATCTTTTCTTCTGTATAATTTGAGTAAAATTAGATTTTATATTTTAAAGATTACACTATAGTATAATCCCATTTTTAAAAACTATGTTTATGGATGCACTCACCTACTCATTTTTTAAACAAAATCATATACAAAGATATACCTGAAATAATAATTACACAATTTTAATGATGGTTATTCTTGAGTATACTTTGCATAATTTTTCTTTGCACCTTACTGTACTGCTTAACTTATTTATCATAAGCAAATATCATTTTTATAAGATAGTAAATCTTTACCCTAGAAAATCAAAGAGTGCTTGTCTACCATGCATCAGAGCTCTAGGTTCAATCCCTGGCACAGGAGGAAAAAAAAAAAGGAAGGAAGCAAGGAAAAAAAAAAGTCCAAAGTTATTTCTGTTATTATTATTACTAAGAAGTTGTAGCAGTTAATAATCCATAATACTCTAAGAATGGAGTAGGAAGTAGATTTTTGCACTTAATCCAAAAGAATACCAATTTCATTACTGCATTTAAAACATCAGCATATAATAAACATAGTGAATTTACCTTTAGCTAGTAAAAATGTGATCCAAGAAACTTTCAGCACCAACACAGAACTTACTTCAGTAGATACCCTAGTAAATAAATAGAAAGAAAAAAAATTTAATACTGACAAAGGTTTTCAACTATGCCTTTGGAGTGATCTGTTTTGTTTTGCTTTAAATTACAGGACTGAGTTAAGTGCATACTCTATTTTTATTGCTCAACTGATACCGGACTCTATCTCAATTCAATTGGTGTTTCTACCAAGATATTATATTTAGCCCATAGAACAGCATACACTTTGTAAAGGAAATACTGAATATCTGAATTGTTATTTAAAAATATATAAAAGATGGCTGGGGTTGTGGCTCAGTGGTAGCGGGCTTGCCTGGCATGTGTGAGGCACTGGATTCATTCTTCAGCAACCTATCTATACAATTTCCCTTTATATCAGTCATCTTCAATACTGTACTTCAGTGGGGCAGAGTATCTCCTATCCTACTCATTCTGCTTCCAAAGAAAATTTCTGGAGCTCTACATGGGTATACTGTTAGAGAATGCATTATACATTTTTAAAAATAATTTGGAAATTTTAAGATAAATCTTTAAATTTATTCATACACAAAATTATGCTGTCTTGTCAATAAAGTATCTGTGAGAGACCATCAATAAAGATTTAATCTAAGAACTGAATTTTTCCTCAGAGTTAGCGAATGTTGCACTGAATCAATTTCCACATTATTAGTTCTCCTTTGTAGCATGAGGCATGTATTTATTTACAGGATAAATCACCTATATAGGACTTTATGACCTTAACTTATAAAGTAGCCTTTGGGGATAAAGGAAGAGATTCTGAGTCTCAGAGGAAGTGCCCACAAACCACTGACATGACAACTATAATTCCTGAGCAACACACTCTTGGCTAGATGCCCCTGACCCATGCCCTTGTAACATGAGAGCAATGCCCAAGTACAGGGAAAACTGGCCTGAAACTATGTAACTCCACCCTAGTTCTACATCTAGTCCATCCCCCAGCAACCATCCCTCTATAAATATTAATGTCTACCCCTCTATAAATATCAATGTCCATCCCAAGGGATTGCTCTCTCTCCCTCTACAGATAGCCCGAATTCTACCTTGAATGCATACTCATTAAACCAAAGGCATCTCTCTTGAGATTGCCCCCATTCTCCCTTGAATATATACCTAAATAAATCTCTGAACATTTTCCTAAATAAACCTCTGTGTGTGCCTTTGACTGACACAAGCTGACATTGTCTTCATTCATGTATGCCACAAACCCCACTGGTCCTGAGTCAAGATCCCCCTTCTCTCTGGAAACTCCTTGGACCTTTTTCAGAGACATCTCTTCCCCCATGAAACTATCATCAACCAAACTAACCTTAATGTTATCAATGTCTGCGACTATTCCAGAAAACCCTTTTTTAAAAAAACCAAAATGTAATATGCTCTAAACTACTTACGAACTGGTGGGTTGTGTCAAATAGATACGTTCACATGTCCTAAAAGGAAGAAATAATTTTATTAACATTGTGGTGTTTTTTTAAAAGTTATTTTAAAAATATTTTCATAATACAGAAATCATAGCAATGTTATCATACTTTATTCATCTTACTTTAAGAAATACACATTTTGAAAACAAAAACACATATAGCATAATGAAACTAAGTAGGTTTTCCCAATTTGTGACATCTCATATCACTGTAATATCTAATTAGAAAAGGACTGGATCCAAATGCTCTTTTTAACTCAAAATATAATTTATAATTGATGATCTGCTTAGAATCCAGATCAGGTCATAACTAATGACTATTTAGCTAATAGTCACATATAGTCATACAGTCTACCCTGTAATAAACAGGCTTTGGTATTACAGTTAATCTCCCCAATAACTCTTCAGAAAAAGGTACTAATAAGACAGAAAAAAAAAAGTCCCTGCTGAACCAAGGCCAGTAAAGTTAAGGCTAAATTATCTCATACGAAAATACAACAAAAATTCTAAATCCCAGGCTGGGGATGTGGCTCAAATGGTAGCGTGCCTGCCTGGCATGCGCGAGGCACTGGGTTTGATCCTCAACATCTCATAAAAATAAAATAAAGATATTTAAAAAAAATTCTAAATCCCTTTTACAAAGGCCTGAATGGTCTTTTAAGACCAAATCTGACTACCCACTCTCCAGTTTTAAATCACTAAATGATTTTCCATTGCCTTCAGGGCAAAGTCCAAACTCACTACCAATGTCGTGATCCCTTCCTAACTTTCAGCCATTAGCAATATCAAAGTACCTCCTGCTTCTACTTGGGCTTTGTGCACATGCTAACTCTGCCTAGCAAGACTCAGTACCATTCCCCAATCCCATTTTGCTTGGCAAATTTCTATTTATCCTTTAAACCATTTAACAATGTCTTCTTTAATGCTTTTTACCCACTACCAAAATCAGCCCTACAGTTAACCTTCTCGATGACAATTTAATACTTTGCCCACTATATAATTTGTTGGCAAGATAAAAGTAAAGATGTCTTTGAAATTGCTAACATACACTTTTGCCTAGCTTGAGAGCTGCAAAGCCAATAGGATTATATTTGGGATTATTAACGTGTTTCCATAAACAGTTGATATAGGAAACAGTTCAAAATTGCTTTCTTCTTGGGCCTGATGCATTAAAATATAAGATTACTAAGAGTTAAAATTCTAATTAACATAGGTAATTCTATATGCAAAGCTTTTAAGTTGTGTTTTGATTTTAAAACTACAAAAAGCATAAAGCATGTTGTCATATTAAGGAGCAATTTGTCTAAATTCAGAAGTTTCATAAAATTGCTTTAAAATGTAAACTTTAAAATGTAAGGCAGAAGGAAACCAGTGAATAAAAAGAAATATAAGAAAGTTATAGGGCTGGGGATGTGGCTCAAGCGGTAGCGCGCTCGCCTGGCATGCGTGTGGCCCAGGTTCGATCCTCAGCACCACATACAAACAAAGATGTTGTGTCTGCCGAAAACTAAGAAAAATAAAATATTAAAAATTTTTTTTTCTCTCTCTCCTTCTTTCTCTCTCTCTGTCTGTCTGTCTTTTTTTTTTTTAAAAAAAGAAAGTTATAGGTATGAAAATGTATTTTGGTAAGGAAGGTTAAAAGGAAAAGGGAATGCTTTCAGATGAAAAAGGAGTTTGTATGGTAAAGCGAAAATTTTGTCCTAAAATCAAATGACTAGATAGTTCCAAGATGGGAAAAAGAAAGATAGGACAGAAACTAAAGTTGCAAACAAGTTGTACAGGGTCTAGGTGGATTACAGAGAGTTTCTGAAATGGCAGGTGTTATGGAGGGAGGCTTACATGTGATTGAATTGACTATAACTTGATAGTTATTCAAAGGATTTTTCTAGGATCAGAATTTGGTGCACTGATGTGAGGTCAGAGTCTATTTCTGTACATTAGAAGCAACAGGGTTTTCTTGAGGTATTGATCTGCTTTGGGTATCATTTTCAGATAGCTGGCTTAAAGAGCAGAGATTTTTGTACTTTATCAAGATAATTTCATGTGTTTCCTGCTGACTTTAGGTTTTAATTACTTAAGGAAACTAAGTCTTGAGAGAATTAAGGCTTATTTAAGTATCTGCTTTAAAATCTGTTAGATAATTCACTTTATAGCTCTGGTTAAATGAGCAATTATTAGAATATATTTGACACTCTGTGTGTCTAGAGATATGTATAAAACTGAGGGCTAAATATGTCGTGTATTTGAGTTTTGTCTAAATGTTATGCAAAGTTTATACAGTTAAAGCTGTAAAGGTTTAATATATGCAAGGTAACTGATCAGTGCTCTTTTTTATACAATATGCAGAGTATCTGGGCCTTCAACCTATAAAATGGCCAATGAAACTTTTGACATTTCTGCATCTGTATGCTCTGATTGAAAAAGTGTTTTGTTATAGTATACATGAGCAGTCACATCAGGTAATAAGTCTATTTGTGGTTATTAAGTACTGTTTCCTAAACTTATAAGAAGTATAAAGCTATTCAATCTTTGTCAATGTTCTTAACCTATGTAGATCTGCTAAAGGCAAAGCCTTATAATTATAGCTATCCCTACTGAGCTATGAATTCTAAATTTCACTTCAAAAGTAAAAGCTAAATTAATATAAATAAAAAGGACTTCAGTATACCTGAGATACTTATTACTGTCTTCTTTGTATGTTAAAAGTACTTTCTCAAGTATACAAGCCTTCTAAAACGCAAAGTTTAGGAGAATACTTTACCAAGCTGGTGTCCTCCAAGCTAAAATGTTTAGAGATAGCATTCTTCAAGATTATGTTTGTATGCTCCTAACTGTATTATAACTATCATCTTTAAACAAAGATAATTAAATGTGCCCAAACACTGTGCACTCCAAGCAGCATCACTCTGATAATTATGAGACTGGACACTGTTCACTCAGGCAGTACATCTGTGAACAAGTATATTCTACTTCATTTTTTAAACATTTCACTTATTCTAAAAGACAAAATTGGATGGGGATTTATTTATATCACTTAATATTTTGTAATGGGATAAAAGTAACTGGCCTTTTGGGTATTCAACAAACTGAGACTTTGAGGTTAAAATAAAGAGAATAACAAGACTAAGAGGGCAGTCAATATTTTGGCCCTCCAAAGTCAGCCAGGACCCACGGGACAACAAAATTCCTCTAAATGGCCCTGGAACACTGGTGAGTCACCCAAACTCCCTCTGGGATGTGGCTCAAGCGGTAGCGCGCTCGCCTGGCATGCGTGCGGCCTGGGTTCGATCCTCAGCACCACATACAAAAACAAAGATGTTGTGTCCGCCGAAAACTAAAAAATAAATATTAAAAAAAAAAAATTCTCTCCTTCTCTCTTTCTCTCTCTATTAAAAAAAAAAAAAACCTTGGAGACCAGGAGCCAACCAATGTACAGTCTGTAAAGAGGAGGGTAATTACAGAGAGAAATGTTCCTAATATTTCCAAGAGAAGCCACATGGCCAGTAAGACCCTCACCCATCCAGGCAGATGGTACAACTGGTAGAGGAAAAAACAAAAGGAGTCAAAAGACCCTAAAATAATCCCTGAGGAGCTTCAATTGACCTTAACAGTAAGAAGGAAAAAAGGCTGATTTTGGGCAAATGTAAGGGCTATTTTGTCTTGAATACCCAGTAGGGCAAGTATAATAAAAAGCAAATGTGTTATTACAGGGATAAAAGTCAAACAAAAAAGCCTAGATTTGACTTCAGGGATCTTAACCCCAAAGTTGGGACCCATCCCAAGACCAGTAGCATATTTCTACAAATAGACACATGCTGTGATCCAAAAATGGGCAAAGGCTTGAGAACAATAGCAGCATAGTTAATGAGTCCTCTAAACTGATTTGGGAATATCTACACAAATAACAAGGTAAAACAAACCCAGGACTCCAGTACACCCATTTAAGCATGCTATACACCTAGATTCTTGCAGGGGTTATAGAGGTAGTGACATTGCTTGTTCCCTGAGACAGCTTATTTACCATAAAGTAACACTAAAAGCTTAACTAATGCTAAACTAGGACCTTTAAAATAATAAAGACAGAGAGTGGGAAAAATTTTAAAAGATAAGGCAAGTACACTCAATGGCCTACAGTTCTTACTAAATTCCTTGGCCGTTACTTTGATCAAAAATAGAAGAGCATTAGATTTCTTATTGGCAGAAGGGGAAAGGATTTGTGCATTCTTAAACTCTACCTGTTGGATTCGGGTAACATTTCAGGACAAGCAGAGCTTAACATTAGGGAGATATAAAAGGAAATCTGATTTCCTTATATATAAAAGAAAGGATTATGGAAGACAAATAACAAATACTTCCTAATCTTATTTAGCTTCTACCATTTTTAGGACTATTAGTCCCTTACCCTATTTCTGATTTTAGGGCCTTGCCTTTTTAATATGCTTATAAAATTTGTGTCTTCCAGGCTTTACTTGTTTCCAAGTTAAGCTGACATTTCCTCTTAGTTTTCAACTCATCCCAGACTAAGTTTGCACCTCCAACTTGTGCCCTTTAGTTCAGGCAGGGAGAGATTTTATAATCTCCAGGGATAGGTAGGATCAACACCCATGTATAGGTCTAAAGTAGCTATAAGAAGACTGAGAAGATTTTGTCCTTTTCCCCTTAGGAAGAAGAATAAAATCTATCAGGGGAGAATGAGACAGACAGGGACCATTATAGGGACAAGAAAACAGATAAGATCTGAGGGTAAAAACCTTTTATTAGAAGTCTTTTCCTACTCTTCAACTCTTATAATGTATGGAATTTGCCTTTTCTTTCTCTCCTATTCTTAATAATAAATCAGAGACCAGATGTAGGATGGCACCTAGAAACCTCCAAGGATCTTTCCCATCTCAGCTACTTGATAAAAACCTGGCCTTTTCTTCTTTTGATTCTTCTGTCCCTTCAATACAGTCTCCCCCAGTCCTTAGGTAAAACTCCCCAAACAGTCTTGCTTGTATATTTGTACTCTCTGCCTAATTTTCTTTCTACTGTTGGTGGGTCAAAAGTTCCCATTTCTAGTACCATAAATACATACAAGTAGCCTGTAAGTTCAGGAAATGATGAATTCAGTAACTTTATCTCAGGTGGTTGATGTATATTGTAACTGTATAAGGAAGGGATAGAATATGCAGTGTTTCTTTAATGGGCATAAAATTTTTAAAAAAATATTTATTTTTTAGTTGCAGTTGGATACAATACCTTTATTTATTTATTTATTTATTTATTTATTTATTTATTTATTTATATGTGGTGCTGAGGATCAAACCCAGGTCTATGCATTATCTCACTATATGTATTAGAACAGATACACACTATCATCAGCTTAATATATAATTAGAAAACTAAACACTAAACTTGGATCCAAGATCATACATGACAAGTTGGAGCCTAAATTGGAATTCAAATCTGACTGACTCAAAAGAGTCCATTCTCTTCTCCAAAAAGCCCAACTACAGTTTCCCTTTTTTGGGAGGACATCATATCCCCATCCATTCATACTAGCTACTTAAACCCCTCAAAATATAGACATGAAATAAACATATGTTTTTAATAGAATCTTAACATAAATCTGAATATAAGAAGAAAAATGACAGCTTACTTGATTTACTTATTGACTTATTGATCATTGCTTCCCATTTACAGAAAAGATGGCAAACCCCTAAACTGTAAAGTGTGCAATACCTATTAGGTTATTCCACTTTAACTCTCCCTAAGTCTCCAGGAGAATCGAATACAAATTTATCAGCAGAAGGGGTAGAAAAAAAGTAAAACAGAAACTAACATCAAAGAAAAGTCCTAATCTCAGACAACAAAGTAAAACAATCTAGAAGTAGCCAATTAAAATTATTATGGCTAGCACTGGAATTGTAGCTCAGTAGCAGTGTGCTTGCCTGGCACAAGTGAGGCACTGGGTTCGGTCCTCAGTACCACATAAAAATAAATAAATAAAACAAAGGTATTGTTTCCATCTACAACTAATTTTTTTTTAAATTATTATGGCTGGAAAAAAAAATAAGGACTGTGCCCTAAACCAGCCCTAGCCCCAAAATTGTCTGTCTAGAAATAATCTGATGATTATAGATTTTTAAAATACTAATCTGTATAGAACAGATTTTTTTTTAACAACTGGCTTAAAGAAGTTCTTGCCTCCTTTTTCATTATAGAGGTAATACATCCTCCTTACCAGGGAAAACATCAATTAAAATTCTGGTCAACTTCTTTCCAATTATCTCATTCTATGCATTAGTGATCTGGGTTTCTTCCTTACACAGTTACAGAACATGACTATGACTTCATATGCATTGACTTCCTTATACATAATCATAGTATGTTCTCCTTTATTTAATTAACATTAGAAGTATGTTGGTCCTCATCAAAATTCATTTTATAATTATACTTTTTTTCCTTTTTGTAATGCTGGGGAATGAATCTAGAACTTCATGCATACTAGGCAAGCACTACACTACTGAGCTACATCCCCAATCCTTAATTGTACTGTTTTATGTCTAGATTATACTTATAATGTTTTATTGTTTAACTTCAGTTGTAAATAAACACACTGTTTCTATTTTTTCATTATTCTAAATAATATTGTGACAAAAATCTCTACAGCTTCTTTTTACATTTGGGATCATATTCTTATGATAAGCTCCCAGATATGAACTAAGTGGTTGTAAAAAAATTTAAAGGACAGAAAGAAAATTATAAGTCACTATTAAATGATAAAGGAACTATATACAAATCAATATGATAAATATAACATAAAATGATATCCTAAGAAGCATAAAAAGTGATTATCTATTAACACTAAAATTTTGGTTGACTGGTATTTTTTTACTAATACTTTTCTGTGCTAAGTATTCTATAATTAATTCACATTTCTTATGTAATTACTTAAGTCATTTCTTTAATAATAAAAAGTTCCCTAAGCAGAAAGCTTCTACTTCAAGAAGGTGGGGGATATGGTCAATTGCTATTATATTACAATTAAAACACAAGTAGAAGTAAAGACATTCCCTCAAGACCCAGGCCAATTTTGTTGTTGTTTTGTATTTGTGTTTCTCTCTACTTTTCTCATCCTTATCTCATTTCTGAAGTTTTAGTGACATACAAATTAAGAAAAAAGGGAAAAAAAAAAGGTGCATGCTTCTGAGAAGATGTTTCTTTCCAGCCTTGTCTCCATACTCATTCTCCCAGAATATTTAAGGACACACAGCTCTTTTCCTTTCTTCCCTTCTCCCTAACTATTCTATTATAGAATTGCTTATTTAGCTAAAACATTAATTTTTACAGGCACTCAAATTCAATGAGCTCTCATACAAGCAAAGGAACAGATATATGCCATTTTAAGGGCTACAGTGCTTGGATTAGAAGACTACAGTTTGGATGAAAAGACTATCAAAACTTAATTCAAGCTTATTTCTTATTCTCCAAGTTGAACAGTAATGGTGAAATCTCTTCTAGATCACCAACATGAGCACAAATCATAACTTGGTCATACAGGTCACATATACCTTCCATGGCCATTTCCCCCCCTTTCGAAATGAATATCTTGGAAAGACATTAAAATTTTGGTCACTATTCAGAACTAGGTCTCCTCGCAGATAAAGCTAAAATAGGAACTAAGCTTAAAGCTTGAGAAAATAAATGAGACACAAAGGGATAATGAAAAAATTTGGAAGAAACATTCAGAATATACGTATGACTAGATAAAGAAGATAGCTAAGAATAAGAAATTAAGAGCAAAAGGGACATGTCTAAGGGGTAATAATTAATAACTTTACTAAATATATTATCGTTATCAGATAGAATGTAATTATGAACAAAGACAAAAAATCAGGGTACAATAACCCTAATAAAATTCTTTATTACCTTTCTAATTTACTGTAGAGTGCACACAATACATCATACTTCTTCAACAGTCTTGACACAGCATTATCAACTTTCGTACTGGTATCAATTTCTTTTAGTAAGTCAAAGAATTTATAGACACTACAAAGTAAAGAATAAAAAAAATCAATCTAACTGTCAAAATTTGTTTTATTTCATTTTCAAAGAAGATACATATCAATGCAAAGGATTATTAGCTCTATTCCAAATTATTATCATGTGCTTTAGAAAGAATTATTTTTTGCATTTTACTAGAATTTAAAGAGGAAAAAACTAGCCTTCAACCCATGTCCTAACATCTACCTACCTATACTTAAATCAACTTAGGGTTGAGAAAAAAAAAGGGGGGGTGGTGGTTATGAAGGGACACATGCATTTATATTTATTTGTAAATCTATCTGTATGGATTTTTTTAAATTGAAGTTGTCTTTTCAACTAAAAACACAAAAATTATTCATATTAATGTGTACCATGTGATGTTTCAATACATATACACATTGTATAATGAGGTTAAATATATCTATCGCCTCAAACATTTATCACTTCTGTATGGTGAAAACATTCAAAATTCTTTCTTCTAGCTTTCTGAGATATACTGTACATACGTAATCACTATCTATAGTCACCCTATATTTGTACAATTTAAACATCATGAGTTTCTAGAATGCACAAGGCCTTAGATTCACTTCAATTTATCTGATTTCAACACAAAATCATATTACAATTAAAACACAAGAAGTAAAGACATTCCAAGTGTTTAGTGTTTAATCTACCCATAAGTAACCACCATCCATCTCTAAAGTCACCTACTCCCCCATGTGGACACTCTCAGACTGACTCCATTTTCTGGATGGCCCACCCCTTCAAGTGGACATCTACTTCAGCCTGGTACTCTGACTCCCCACACTAGGTTGCCCTCCCTTGTATTTAACTCTTAGACTGGCTGCCCATCTATTCTGCTTGGTATCTGACATTACATACCAAACAGCTCCCATTAGGTTGCCCCTCACATATCCATGTGGACACCCTTCCCCATGTGGATCCCTTCTTTGGCTCTGACATCTTCTCTAGGTCCCTTTTTGGCTCTGATATCTTCTCCAGGCCCCTCAATATTCCCCTGACACAGATACACACATGACACATTCTTTGCCCTACCAATGGTTTTAGGACTGAATTATTGGAGAAGGGAAAAGTAAAGCTGATGAAAATTTTAATTTGATTAAATAATGACTTTAGGTCACTCATTATTGTTTTCTATAAAAATTAATCTTTGAAACATCAGTAAATACATTTTTAATAGGGCATTCAAGATAGCAATTATCAACTGCATCTCATACACTAATTTCTAACTAATTTTGCATAAATAATTAGGCCAAAGCAGCTAAATGAACCAAAGAATTTTCACTGGATCCAATTACAGGCTGCCCAGCAACCAAAGAAAGCTTCACCTAAACCAGGTGCACACCTTTAGTCCCAGCATTTTGTGGAGACTGAGGTGGGAGGACTATTTGAGTCCAGGAGTTTGAGATAAATCAGGGCAAAACAGTGTGACTTCATTTTTAAAAAGGAGGGGGAAATAAAAAAGCTTCAGTTAATCAGCAGGTAGACCAGAATACCAAAAAAAGTTATTAAAAGTTCCCATCCTATATAAGGAATGTGGGCAGCCACACAAGTTTTATGGAAAAGCAAATAAAGATGGAGTAGAAATGATAGAAAAAAGAGAATATCAGGATGTTGATTAGAAGATAAAAGAGAATGGAGTAAATATGCAGTGTCCAGAGGAAAAAAAATCAGCTTTAGAATAGTATTTATTTTGAGATGGTCTCTGCCCAGGCTGGCCTCAAATTTATAATCCTCCTGCCTCACCATCCTGAGTTGTTGGGATTACAGGTGTGTGCCATCATGTGTGGCCCCAGAATAGAATTTATTAAAGAACCACACTCAGTTTCTGCTTTTATAAAGTATAACAGCTATCTGTCCGTGGAGTACCACAAAAACTGAGTTGTTGTAACAAAGTCTTCTTTTTATAGGGTAACTTAAGAGAAGGAGAAAAGGAAGGAAGAGAGGGCGAGAACAGAGTGTTAATGCCTGTAGTTCTGGATTTAACTCTATGAACTATTTATGTTATTTCTATTATTTTGCATATTTATGAATACACAATGCCTTTGTTTCCACATTTTATTTAAAGATAGTAAAAAAGTGTCATAATATATAACAATTTAATCTAACTCATTTAAATAATATACCAATTATGTTTAATTCAAGAAGAAACATACAGCCATCCAACTGTTCAAATTATTTACTATTGTATTCTGTAAATATGCTGCAAATGAATGACTCAGAGTCCTGGAAGATTTCTCAACACAAAGTTCGTGAATCACTGGAAACAAATTAATACACTCTTCTAAATCTTATAAACTCAACAAAATATTTATTAAGTAATTACCAAGTCAAGTACTACTGTACATACAGTAGTCTAAATACATAGTAGACTGAAAATGTATGTAATTATAATAACTACTATATTAAAATCTTAAATCTTAATAAATCTTCTCTAAATTCTTTAAAAGATATCACTTTATAAAGGTTTTAATATATAATAAACCTATTTTATAGATCTTTTCTTTTTTTGTCCAATTTATCAACAACTATAATTAAGTCTATAGATGAACAACAAGAGACAAAAATTTTGCCAGGACACAAATTACAAAATTTTTAAGAGATGCAGCATGGGCTGGGGATGTGGCTCAAGCGGTAGCGCGCTCGCCTGGCATGCGTGCGGCCTGGGTTTGATCCTCAGCACCACATACAAACAAAGATATTGTGCCCGTCGAAAACTAAAAAAATAAATAAATAAATATTAAAAAATTCTCTCTCTCTCTTCTCTTTAAAAAAAAAAGAGATGCAGCATGAATAAGCTTTCATTAAAGGATCCTTGAGAGAATGACAATTTACTATTTGACCTATTCCTTTATGTTTTACTTAATTTTAGCATTTCTTTTTAATTTCCTAAGTCTATTAAGAGTCCAAAAGTAGTTTTCTTTAAAAGCAGAGGCCTAAATTTATGTAAGAAATTTTACCTTGTTTCTATGTTTTTCTGCAGCTCAGTGAAAGTGAATGGCATCTCATCTAGGTCAACTGCTGCAATAAAGATACAGATTCCCCACAGTTCTTTTTTCTTTTGAATATAACCTTCCTAGGAACAACAAAAAAAGTTCAAATATTTCATTAACTCATTCACATATTAGATGCTCTATCAAAAAGTATTATATGTGGATTTCTTCTTATTCAGCTAACAAAATAAATGTATTTTAAAATCCTTATAATGGCATATAATGAAAATATTTCATTTTACTTAATAAAACATTCAAATTTTAGATTATAAAGCAAAAAACTTATAAGAAAGATCAGAATATGAATTGTTGGTCTCTATGATAGAAACTTCCAATTCATAGCAGCTTCATTCATAATAGCCCCAAACTGGAAACAACCCAAATTTTAAAAAGTAAATAAATAAACAAATTGTAATATATCCATACAGTAGTGTTACTGGACAATTGGAGAAGTCCTAATAAATTTAACAACACAGATAAGCCTCAGTATTATTATGCTGAGAAAAAGCCAGATACAAAAGGATATATTATATAATTCCTTTCATATGAAATTCTAGAAAAGGCAAAACTAATCTTTAAGGTCAGAAAGTAGATCAGTGCAGAGGTATGAGGGAATGACTGAAAAAAAGAACAAGATAACTTTCTGTTTGATCAGAAACTTCCATATCTTCATGTGGTGAGTACATGAGTAAATATATTTGTCAAAATTCATTGAATGGTATTCTTAGAATTGATATATTTTAGTTAAGTGCCATGGTACATGACTGCAATCCCAGCTACTTGGGACGCTTAGGCAGGAGGATAGTAAGTGCAAGCCCTGCAACTTAGCCAGTCTATCTCAAAATTTTTTTTTTATTATATTTTTTAAAAAGGGCTCAGGACATAGCTCAGTAGCAGAGCACCCTGGGTTCAATCCCCCATACTAGAAAAAAAGAGTTCTTTTTAAAATTATTTTAATGTGTGCAAATTATCTGGATTTTATTTTATTCTGGAAATATGTTACAAACTCTTTCTGAAACTGAACATAAAAAGAGCACTGCTTCATTTTTTTGACAACTGTTAAATATCTATTTTAATAAAATAAATGAACATCAATTTATGTGTATGTTAATATTAGTATAGTCAATTTCTCTGGAACTACTAATATGTGAAAAGTTGTCTCTATGATAGAAACTCCCCATGTACATGCTTTTTGAATTTTTATGCCTATTTCTTACCATGTTTTTGGTTTGCTGCTTCTCCCTCAGGTACCATTAGGTGAACTTAACTGCTTTCAATGTGTCTGTTGCAATTCCAGTCTTTTTTCTTTGTCCTAATCTTTAGGAAATGAAGTAACTACAGCTGTTAAAATTTAGTATATTGTTTATTCACTTTTTTCAAAACATCAAATTTTATTAGGACACAGTCCACAAAATCCAATACATGATAATTTGATATGTAAAATGTCTAAATGACATGTTCTATCAGATTTTTTAGGATTTGAAGAATTTTCCTAAGAGGAAAATGTGATCTTTATTTCAGATATGGTTTATCTTTTAATTTTCTTAAATAGCATGTTTCAAAGAGCAGAAGCTTTAATCTTGATTAACCTCATTAATTTTTTTCTTCCATGGATCATGCTTTTTTCAATGTAGTATCTAGCAAATCTTTGTGTAACACAATCTGTTACCTCCTAGTTCTAGGGGTCTGATTCATTTTGAGTTAAATTTTTAAAAACGGTGCAACATAGGAAATAAACTTTTTACATATAGATATCTGTTCCTGTTTGTTTGTTGCAAAATATCCTTTCTCTGTTGAATTACCTTTTTACCTCTGTAGGAAATCAATTGATTGTACACATGTGGGTCTCTTTCTGGATTATCCCTTGTGCATATGTGTTTGTTGTTGTTTAAGGCATTATAGTCATACTTAGTTTTCTAATACATTTTGACAAAGTCATATATGTATAGAATTTGATTTATTCCATTTCAGTCTCCATTCCCCCTACCTTTCTCTTCCCTTTTTCCCCTACTTTGCAGATCTTCCTTTCACTCAAATGATCATCCCTATCTTTATCATATCTGATCCCACCCTCATTTTTTCCCTTATTTTGCTCTAGCTTCCACATTTCTCTCAAACCATTTGACCCTTGGTTTTCTGAGTATGCATTATTTCACTTAGCATGATGTTACCCATTTCCATCCCTTTATGGCAAATTCTGTAACTTAATCTTCTTTATGGCTCAGTAAAACTCCATTGTGTATATACACAAGATTTTTTTAATCCATTCATCTATTGACACATATCTGGGCTAGTTCCATAATTTGGCTATGGTGAATGGTGCTGCTATAAACACTAACGTAGCAGTAACACTGTAGTATGCTGATTTTAGTTCTTTTGCATAAATACGAAGAAATGGGATAGCAGGGTCAAATGGTAGTTCCGTTTTTTGTTTTCTGAGGAATCACCATATTGCTTTTTAGAGTGGTTATACCAATTTACAGTCCCACAACAGTATAACTTTTGCTCCACATCCTCATCAGCATTCATTATTATTTGTGTTCTTGATAACTGCCATCCTGACTGGAGTGAAATGAAATCTTAGTTTTGATTTATATTTCCCTAACGGCTAGAAGTGTTGAACATTTTTCATATATGTGGAGCCATCTGCATTTCTTCTTTTAAGAAATGGATATTTAGTTCTTTTGCCCATTTACTGATTGGGTTATTTGGGGTTTTTTATGTTAAGCTTTCTGAGTTCTTTATATATTATGCATATTAATCCCAAGAGGGGTAACTGGCAAAGATTTTCTCCCATTCTGTGTCTCCCATTCTCTCTTCACACTCTTAATCATTTCCATTACTGTGCAGAAGCTTTTTAATTTGATGACAGTCCACTTATCAATTCTTGGTTTTATTTCTTGAGCTTTAGGGGTCATATTAAGGAAGTCAGTGCCCACAAGAATATGATGCAGTGTTGACCCTATGTTTTCTTCTAGTAGTTGCACGATTTCTGGTCTAATTCATAAACCTTTGATCTACTTTAATTTGTCTTCTCTGAAAGAAGACTCTTGTTTCATTCTTCTACATACGGCTAACCAGTTTTCCCATTACCAACATATATTCTTGGCATCTTTGTCCAGTATCAGATCACTGTAAGTATGTGGGTTTGTCTCTATTTTACATTCTATTCCATTGATTTTCATGTCTATTTTGATGCCAATACCATGCTGGTTTTGTTACTATAACTCTATAAAAAAAACTGGAGATCGGGTATTGTGAATGACCCCTGCCTCATTCTTCTTGCTGAGGATTGCTTTGGCTATTGCAAGTCTTTTATTCTTCCAAATGAATTTAAGTACTGGTTTTTCTAGTTCTGTGAAGAATATCATTGGATATTGATGAGAATTGCATTGAATCTGTATATTGCTTTTGATAGTATAGACATTTTAACAATATTAATCTTGTCTATCCAAGAACATGGGAGGTCTTTCCATCTTCTAAGGTCTTCCTCAATTTCTTTCTTCAGTGTCTTATAATTTTCATCGTAGAGATTTTTCACTTCCTTGATTAGATTAATTTCCAGGTTTCTGTTGTTTTTGTTTTTGTATTAGGGGCTATTGTGAAAGGGATGGTTTTCCTGATTTCTTTCTCAGCTGAATAACTATTGGAGTATGGGAAAGCTATCAATTCATGAATGTGATCTTGTATCCTGCTATTTTGCTGAATTCACTCATCAGCTCTAGAAGTCTTCTGGTAGAATTTTTTGAGTCTTCTACATATAGGATCATGTCATCAGCAGAAATAGTTCGGTTTCTCCTTTTCCTATTTGTATCCTTTTACCTTCCTTCTCTTGCTGATTGCTCTGGCTAGAGTTTCAAGAACTATATTAAATAAATAGAAGTGGTAAGAGAGAACATCATTGTCTTGTTCCTGAGTTTAGAGGAAATGCTTTTAGTTTTTTTCCATTCAATGATGTTGGCTTTGGGTTTTTCATATATAGCCTTTATAATATTGAAGTAATTTCTTCTATCCCTAGTTTCTCCAGTATTTTTAACATGAATGTGTGCTGTATTTTACCAAAGGCCTTTTCTGCGTCTATTGAGATGATCATATGATGCTTTTCCTTAATTCTATTTATGTGAATTATATTTACTGATTTGTGTATGTTGACCCAATCTTGCATTCCTGGGATAAAAACCACTCAATCATGGCATATTAACTCCTTGATGCGTTTTTTAATGTGGTGTGATATTTTCTTAAGTTTTTAATTAGCAATAGTTGCACCTCGGAAAAAACCTCATTGGCTACAATACTGCCAAAGCACAAAGCTCTGCTATTTTCTTAAGGATTTTGCATTTATGTTCATTAGGGATATTGGTCTGTAGTTTCCAGGTCTTGCTATGTTGCCAAGGCTGGCCTTGAACTCAAAATCCTCCTGTCTCAATCTCCCTGCTCACCGGATTTACAAAAATGTGCCACCTTCTGTACCCTCTTTCTGGATTTTCTGTTCTGTTCCATTGATCTACCCGTCTTCCTTTTCACCAGTAACCACCGATGTCTTGATTACTGTAGCTTTGTATTTCTTGTCCATTTTTAATTGAGTTAATTCAATATTTTTCTATCTGAAAGGCAATCTCAACTTTTATTCTTCTTGTATGAATTCAAAGACTAAAGACTAGAGTTAACACTGGCTCAACATAGACATGCAAGGTCACACACCTAAAAACCAAATTTCCTAACACTCAATTTAACATTATCCCATTTCTTTAAGTATTTTCCTTATTATAATTCTTAACATTTTCATTACTGAAATCTTTAATCTCATCACCTTCACCAAGAGGTCTATGTTCTTAACTTTGATTTTTATTTCTATTTGATTGAAAAGGTTGAAGAGTCACTACTTAAAGCCTCAAGTTATTTTTAATTCTTTTCCACATCAAGTTATTTTTAATTCCATTTACCTCCTAGTTTTCCCCAAAATGACTATGCATTTTATCTCTGAAAATTCACCTATAAATTTCTTCTTTTCTGATTTTGACAAATGGACATTCTTCTCCATTCTCAAAACTCTGAATTCCTTCCACTTTAGATCACATTGTCA